GTTAAAAAAAAGGAGCATGAAGCCACCTTAGGCATTTGGGGCTTTGTGCTGGCAGGGGGAAAAGACAAACTAAACCATCGGAATTCCAAGGGGGTGGGAAAAAAGTGAAATGTACATGAACATAGAAAGGTGGAAAACTAAAGGGAGAAGACAAGGCGAATGTGCAAAGAAAAAAGGGATGGAGTAAACGGGGGCGACGAAAAAAATAAAAAAAATTACTAATACCCTTGACTACCCTATATACAGAAGGATTGCAGTGGTCAGAAGCGGACATAATAGGAAGGCATGGCATCATGGCCTCAGTCAAGGATGGAATTTCGCCTCTGCATGGGAGGCTTTAAAACCGGTAAAGGAAAAAAGCCCCAAAGCAAAAGTAATCTTGGTGGGATGGGTTTAAAGGGCAAGATTGCGGAAGGGCCCCCTGAAATAATCTGGTCCCTAATCGATTTTCGATAAAATTTTGGGGCTGAATGTAGTCGGAGGGCTTACGATCAGCCTCCCATGAAAGATGAGCAATTTTTAAGGAGGTTAAAAGGGCTTGGCAGTTCCCCTTCAGGAGGTAAGTGGGGTTTTCCCCAGGAAAACCCAAGGGTCAAACAAAGGCCAAAAACCCTGACCGTACCCGTTTGGGTCATGAGCCTAAGAACAATGGATATCAGAAATGACAGAACTTTTAGGGGAAAATAATTTGGTGATTTTTAAAAAAAATTTAAAAAAAAACCAAAAAAAAGGGGCCCCAATTTGGGGAAAAACGGTTGACTGCATGGGAGGAACGCATGAGGTGACAAGCAATAGCAAAGTCCACAAAAGAGTGATGACCAAATATTTAGGGAAAGAATAGAGTCAGATCATTTATAGAAAGGGAAAAAAAGTGTCGTGTCAGAACCATCCCTAAAGGACCCTTTTCGGGGGACAAAGGGGGGAAAAAGAGTTTTTAAACCCAAAACCCGGGAAAATGTCTCTCAGTTAAAAAGTTCTTAAAAAAAAAAATTTGGTGTATTACCTCAGAGGCCTAAGGAGTGGGCCGGGGCCAAGATTTATCCTCCAAGTTGTGTCAGTCCTTCTCAAGTCAAAAAGATGGCGAAAAAAGATGGTTTATTGCAAAGGCAGTAAGGGGTCGTGGTAAAAGGCCCTTATAAAAGCCATTTTGATGTCTAGAGATTTGTGGTCTCTAAATCCCACATCAACATCTGTTTACCAGATGTTCCTACCTGCAAACTGCACTGGAAAAAAAATGAACATGGGAGGCATCATGTCCCGTAGTACTGGGTTTGCAGAAAAGGGAGAACAAGGCAGTTTCCACAGTGGGAAAAAACCCCTTTGAAACCCAAAAAAAGATTAAAAAGGGCAAGGGGACAGAAGGGGCTGATGATGTAAATTGTAGCATATAAATATAAAAGCGTCAGGCCCAGCCCCGTTATTGGAAAGGGAGTGTTGCCTCTTCCAGAAGTGTAAGAGGCACATTAAAGATTCTCTTGAAAAAAAAAATTTTAAAGGGTTTTCTAACTCTGGCACAGGAGGAAAAAAACAAGTGGCATAGATGGAGCCCCGGGGGAGATACGGCAAGATATTATAATTTTCAGAAAAAGTAAGAGGGGGGCCTATAGCGCACTAGAAACCCTAAAGAACGGGAGCCGGGTTTGGGAGAGATTTGCCACTGGTTTCTGTACTTTTTTCCCGACTGCACTCTAACTAAGCCCCAAAATGACAGTACAAACTTCACCCCCAAGTGTGTTTAAAATCATGGTGACCGCAGGCGACGCTTCTTCTGCTTAAAAACAAGAGTCGCTCTTGGGGTTATCATATGGACCTACCCCCAAATGTGTGCTTCAAAAAGCACTGCTGAGCACAGCAGATCACCCTGGCACACACTCTGAAATGCCTGCCCCTCAATGGAAGAGAAGAAAATCCTCACTAAAACAGTTTTTACGGGTAAAAGTCCAATTCACTCGGTCAAATTCCCGCGTGGCTACCAGGAGGTGGGAATACGAAAGGGGAAGTAAGGGTAATTGGAAAAAGAGTTTTCATATAAGTCTGGGAGGAAACCAGTAAAATCAAACGCAGTTGGGAAGAGCAAACCGAGAGAAGGCAAGAGAGAGAAAGAGTACGAGAATCAAAATGGGGGGGGAGTACCCATATTTAAAACATGGAGGGGGGGGGGAAACGAGAAAAAAAATCCAACTGAATGCCCGGGGGGTCAAAATGAGATTCCAAAACCCCCCCCCCCCCCCCAAGGGGAAAAGATGAGCCTTAAAGTCGCAAATAACGAAGGGTGGCAGTAAGGAAGAAAAACCCAAAAAAACAACACTGGGGTAATAATGCCAAGAAGGAGAGAGATAAAAGAACAATTCAAGTGAATGTGGGGGAGTGTACTGAGCGAAATTGAACAAAAACTGATGGGATGGGAAAATTTGGGGTTTTATAAAAGTTCACTTTATTAAAGTTCCATCAGGGAAAAAAATCGAAAATATAATAAAACATAGCCCAAAATGGGGGTGGATAAAGGGAGTGTAATTTTGGGGTTTTTGTAAACAAACACAAAGGGAAAACTGGGAGAGCAACATGTAAGCTACCCCAGTTACCTCGGGCCATGAATATTCCACTGAAATAAACCCTTTTTGTAAAGGGGAAAGATACAGAAGCTGAAGGTAGGGGTACTCGGACTAGAAGGGTTAGAAAAGTCCACATGTGGGGGCAAAAGGAAACTTAAAAAAGCAGTGAAAATTGAAAAGCTGTGAAGAAAGGATTGTGCAGAGAAGAGGTGGTGGTAGAACTACGGAGAGAGAAGGAAGGGTAGTAAAAAATGGGGGGGATGATGGAATTTAAAAGAAGGGGTGGGCAAAAGGATAGAGGGAACGTAGAAGCAGCTTGGGGGAGGTAGGAGAGGAACAACCTGGGGGGGGATGAGGGGGGGGGGGGAAGGTCTATAATGAGAAGGATGAACCTCCACACTCATAACAGAGCCAGTTAGAAGTGAAGAAGCAGGTAGAGAGACTGGAAAGGAAAAATGTGGAGGTAGAAGAAGGGTTTAAAGGAGATTTGAGCAATGGGGATTTTTTGGACTTCTGAGAAGTAGGAGGGCGATGGGGAGTTGTTGCATGAGGTCTTGTAGACCTGTTTGTGAGAAGAGGAAGAAGTGAGAACAGAATGAGGTGATGAGGTAGGGGCCTCCAAGTCCAGTACAACAAGAGTTAGAGATGGGTGACTGTGGAAGGGGTGACCACAGAGGAGGTTGCAGAAGTTGGGACCTCAGAGGCGGGGCGTCGTTTAGCAACTCAAGAATAAGAAATACAGGGAAGTCTCCCTTGGAGGCGTAGATGAGACTGCCATAGCATAAGGAAAGCCTTCTGCCTCTTTGAGACAATGGGTTTCTCGCTCATTTAAGTAAACTTGGCAATGGCGAGAGTAAGACGGGTGAGCCTCATGACAAGGCAAGAGGGAGGTAGACTACAAGATGTATTGATATGGTTGGTGGTACCACAGACTGGGCATTCAGCCATGGACCTGCAATATTTCACTGGATGACCAAATTGGCAGCAATTTCTACACTTGCTTTGTAGGGATCGCCATTCGAACTTGTAAACAGTGTCCCGCAATATAAACTGAGGACGGAAGCTCACAGCAGTCAAAAGTTAAGTGAGCTACAATGCAAGGGTATAGTTTCTGCCTGCAGGCAGAGAGGACATAAGTGTCTACTTTGAGGATTGGGAGATCTTGGAGTTCAAGCTGTTCCAGAGTATCATCACTACATATCTGGAAATTCTGTTGGACAATGGTATGAGGTAGAATGACAGTACCACTTCAAGAATTGAGAGAATGATGTTTATTAATAGTTACAAGAATAGCATCAATGGTTGTAAGGAGAAAGATTGCGAGCTTGACTAGCATTCTGTACCATGAAGATGTGTCTACTGCCCTTGAGAGCATGAAAGATATCTTGACCATGGCATAGGAGTACCTTGCCAATCCTATGATTGGAAAGATAGGCAGTAGAAGAAGTCAGTAGCAGAGTAAAAAGCTTAGTCCATTGTGTATTTTGAAACAGCATGTAAGGGGAGCGAGTGTTGTGCCGGTCTTTTCTGAGCAAAATGAGAAGGAATCGAAGAAGTATTGGGTAACGGGCTTGGGCGTTTAGGTATAGGACCAGAGGCAGTCCAATGTGAGACAGGCAGCTGATCCAAAAATCGCCGCACCGTAGAGGGAAAAGCTGGAAGCATGGTCAAAGTACAGAGATCAGATGTATCAAAGGAGTCAGGCGGAACCCCAGTACCTGGAGCAGGTGGTGAAACGCATCAGCAAGAGGTACAGTGGCATTAGAAATGTCCGAAGAGGGGTTAAGTAATGAGGCAGGGTCGGAACAGGGTGTGGTATCGGGAAGGGGGCCTGGGGGGAGAACAGCTCCTAGGAGGAATGAAAGGGATGTAAATCTCCCTCTACGCCCAAGAGGACCTCAGCACTGCAAGTAGTGCAGATGTGGCATGGAACCCATGCCATACCCTACCCTTCATGCCAGTAAACCAGCAATCCGGGATAGCAACCTCACAGCCACCGAGCCACCTCGGTGGACTAAAGAGAGGGCAGCTGTACACCCACCACAAAGCATACCTCCTTCGGCCACCATCCCCCGGAATTCGAAAGGCCACCTCCAGAGATACGCTTGTCACCCTGTGCCACCCCCTCCCCCCAAGAGACCGGAGAGGAATCGGGGCATCCCCAGGTGATGCAGATTCCATGGCAAACTACTACACTGCCAAGGACCCCAATGGAATGGGATGGGCCACAATACCCAACCCCCTACCTAGGAACTAGAATGCCTGTGGGGAAAATCCCAAAGGCCAAAAGCAGGAAGGGAAGGGGGGGATTGGGAGATAATTAGGTTTGGTCTGAGGAAGGAGACCAAAAGCCTTTTCACCATGCCAAGAAGCCCCCTCCCCCCCATTGAGGAATGAACAGAAAAGAATGGCCCTAGACTAGGTTTTGAGGGTAGAAAAACTCTTGAAATCAGTCACAGGTATATTTACCTATGTACAGTTTATTTTTAGCTTCATAGGTTAATGGACATTAACACATTACTTCTCTTCATTAAAAATTTGCTTGAATATTTACTTTTTTTTGTTTTTAGCATGGCCTCTCATACTTGCTACTAAACCTGGATTAACTTTATTGCGATTTCTATTTTTTACATTGGTGACTTCATAGAAATTACTTCCTATTTTCTTTCTTTTCTGCTCCCTCTCTATTCTTCTCCTCTGTTTAGAAGTTAATGGCTTGGCTTCCTCTTCGGGAAGATGTTTGCGCTTTCTTCTCAGTTTCCTCACGTTTGCAACAGTAAATGCACCAGCTGCTGTTTCAACTTCATCCTCACTAGACAATAAATCCTCTCCAATCATTTTCTCATCATCTGATTGTAGTTCCTCACCTAGATTTTCATCAGTGCCAGTGCTTGTTGGCTGTGAGGTAGCAACAGCTTCCACCTGATCATTTTCTTTATTCACATTGGCAGGTTCTGGAGCAACTGGTGAAGCTTTATCGTCCAGGATGGAAGTAGTTGTCGAACTGTCTCCGTCTTTTGTGCCATTCATCTCTTCACTCTCTGACAAACTGTTTTTGCTTTCCTCAAGCACACTATTCATATCGTCAATTTCTTCAATATTATCATCATAATCCTCGGGAATTTGATCAGTTATTTCCAGAGGTCTCGCATCATCTTCAGAGTACTCCAGACTCAATGTTATTTTACCTAAATCTTGGAATACTGAAGGCACATTACTGTTGATGGTGTTCATGTTTCGTGCTTCTTCCTCTTCCTCCTCTGCTTCTTTCTCTTTAATTTTTGCAGCCATTTCTTCATTTTCTTCATTCTTTAGTTTAATAAATTCTGAAGAGTCATGTCCAGGTGGTGGCACAAAATAAGGAATCTTGCCTCGCTGCCAGTCGTTTAGGATCATTTTGGCAACAGTGTTGAAGTCTGGTTCTCCTCCTTTCAAAAGTTTGCCCATACGTCTTGCTACTTTCTCCATAAAATCTTCTGGAGTGCTCCAGTCATCCACCTGGAAGTTTTATAAGCAATTAAAATTATTTGACAAGTAATTATTATTATAATCAAAAAGAAGCGCTAAGCCACAAGGACTATACAGTTGACAAGTAATAAATCACACACATGCTATAAAAACCTTATTTCCTAAGACAAACTACACAATTGTACATAAATATTACAGTAGGGCCCCGCTTTTTGGCGTTTTGCCAATAAGGCGATCTCAAACGACCAAAACTTTCTATACGTCAAGTGGTCTTTCAAATACGGTGCATGCCATCCGGTTTGTTTACATTCTCCATGAGCACATCTCTCTTGGCCACACTAAATGTCTAATTTTACGTCAATATAGACATTTTCATTAATCCATGATTTTTTTTTTTAACAAGTCGGCCGTCTCCCACCGAGGCAGGGTGACTCAAAAAAGAAAGAAAATGTTTAAATTCATCATTCAACACTTTACCACCACTCACCCTTTAAATCACGGTGCGACAATGTGTAAAGGGTGTGAAAAAAGAGAAAAGTTAGCTTATGAGAGGTTTTTAAAAAGCGAAGTGTTATAAAAAAGGCGGGAGTATATGGGGGAGTAAAAAAAAAGGTAAAGGGGGAGTGGTAAAGGAGATTTCCCAAAGGAGAGCGTGACAGATGGGAGAGGCACTCAAATTTTAATGAAAAAAAAAGGAAAAAAATTTTGGGAAATTTAAAACCCAAGTTAAAAAAACCCTAGGGAAAGAAATGGATTTTCATTTAAAAAAACAGGGGTGGGGAGTTGGGTAGATGGGGAAATGGGGTTTTAAAGGAAAATTTTGGCAAGAATTTTTTGAGGAATTTTTTAAATTGGGTTGGGGAAAAAAAGGGGGGCAGAAAATTTCAGGCACGGGCCCAAAGGGAAAGGGTATACCATCTTTTAGGGTAAAAGAAGGCGAATGTGTGGTGGGGTCGTAAAGGCATTCGTTGAATAAAAGGGGGGGGGGTAAAGCAGCTGGAACTGATGGAATCATGCCCATAAATTTTAAAAAAGGGGAGGGGGGGTATAGTTTTGGGAGTGGTTGGTACTTTTTTTTAAATTAAAATGTATGAAAGGGGGAGGCCCACCTAGGGTTTGGGTGGAGGGAATGTATATTTCCCTTTATAAAAAGGGAAGGGAGCCCAAAAGAGTTTTGGAAAAAATTATAGAGGAAAAAGTTTACCGGGGTATACCGGGAAAAAAGTGTCGGTAGGGTTAAATTGAAAGTTAGAGGTAAGAAAAAATGTAGGTTTTGCGGTTGAGAAGGAGGGCTTCAGAGTGGGTGGGGGGATGTGTAGATCAAGGTTTACATTGAAACATATTTTTTTTTTTTTTCAAAAAGTGGGCCCGTCTCCACCGGGGCAGGGTGCCCCAAAAAAAGAAAATACTTTCATTTTAACCTTTCACACCCCTCACCATTATCCGGCTTTTGCAGGGGTTTTGCTCGGGAATTAAAAACAGCTTAGAAGAAATTTTAGTAAAAAAGATAAAAAATTATCCCTCCAAACCCCCAATTCCCAAACCCCTTTTTAAAGTGCAGGCATTGTATTTTCCATTTCCGGGGACTAAAGGGCCCCGATTATGAAAAAAACCGGTTTCCTAAAACCCTTCACAAAATTTTTCCCCTGCTCACACCCCAAAAGATCGTCAGGTCCCAAGTTCATTTTTCCCCATTCACTATCTAACCGCTCATGACGCCCTTTCTGGAAGTCCCAAAACCCCCCGCCCCCAAAACTCCTTTTCCCCCCCTTTAACCCCTTTTAAGGATGACCCCTACCCCCCCTTCCCTTTCCCCCATAGAATTAAATTTTTTCCTGTCATTTTACTTTTATCCATTTTTCTTTAAATGCCAAACCAACCCCAAAAAACCTTTTTCTGCCCTTTGAATAAAAAAATTTTTTTTAACTCCACACCTTCTCCCCAAATTTTCCCCACTCCGAAAATTTTTTGCAAAATATTTAACCACCCATTTTCCCTTAGAAAGGACTTTTCCACTGCTTCCAACCCTCTTCCCCGCTGCTGCATTTAACCCCCAAGCTTCAAAAACCCTAAGGTGTGGGAATATATTCTTTCTTAAATTTCCCTTTTTTTGCCCCATAGATAAAGTTTTTTTACTCCACATTTTACCTCAACCACCACTCACCTTTTTTCCCCCATCAATTTTTTGATTTAAACCCCATCCTTCATAAATTTCCAAACCGGGCCCACACGTTCAACTCCCCAAATATCTGAAAACATTCACTTTTTCCCTTTCACCCCTCCCCCATTTGATTAAACCAATTTTTTTTTATCTAAATCAAATTTGATTTCCCTCATACCTTACTCTTTTCTATGTTCACTTTTTTAACTTTTACCTTTTCACCATTCTTTAAACTCATCCACTTCCTTTTCAATTTTTCTTTAGAATCTCCCCTAAGCACAGTATATCAGCAAAAAAAATAACTGTGTCAATTCCCATTTTGAATTTTATTCCCCAATTAAATTTTTCCACCCCTCTCCCAAACACCCAAAAATTTTCTTCTTTTTCAACCCATTATAAATATTTAAACAACCATGGTGACATTACACATTTCCCCGTCAAAACCTTTCTTTTTTGGAAAATTTTTCTCCCTCTTTTTCTTCACCCCCCTAACCTGAGCCCCCACTATCCCCATAAAAACTCTTTAAAAGCATTTAGTTAATTTCCACCTATTCCAAAATACTTGGGGAACATCTGCCCCATTGCTCCTCTATCCCCTCTTCCCTATCCCTTTTTTAAAAACCAAAAAAGCCCAAAAAAAACCTTTTTCCCCACCTTTTTTAAATACTGTTTTACTATTTTGTTAAAAGTAAAAACTTGATCTAAAATCCCTACCCAAATCTGAAGCCTCCCTGTCTTTTTGCCCAAACCTACATTTGTTTACCCCTAATTTTTTCAAATTTTAAAACCCAAACCCTTTACTTTTCCTGGTTTTTTTCAGTTTAAAATTTTCCCCTATAATTTTTACAATCTCTTTTGTCCCTTTCCCCTTTTTATAAAGGGGGCTTAAGCTCTCTGCCCCCTTTCCCCCGGACTTCCCCTTTTCATACATTTTTTTAAACAAAAGTACCCAAACCCCTCCCAAATAATCTCCCCTGCTTTTTAAAATTTTTGTCATGATTCCCAAAAGTTCCAGCTGGGTTTACCCCTTTCATTCTTCGTAAAAGCCCCAGTACCTTTCCCCCACACTTACATTTGCTCTTCTTCACTTCCCAAAAGATGGTATACCTCCCCGACCAGTGATGGAAAAAAAACCGCCTCCCCAAAATATATGTGGGAAAAGGGTTTAGATTTAAAAGGGAGGGGAAATTTTTTTGCATTTATGGGGTTTTGAAAAGGCATATGATAGAGTGGATAGGGGAGGGGAATTTTTGGCAGATGTTTGCAAATATATGGAATAGGTGGTAAGTTACTAAATGCTGTAAAGAGTTTTTATGAGGATAGTGAGGCTCAGGTTAGGGTGTGTAGAAGAGAGGTAAAAGTAGGTCTTAGAGATGTGTAATGTCACCATGGTTGTTTAATATATTTATAGATGGGGTTGTAAAAGAAGTAAATGCTAGGGGCCCCGGGAGAGGGGTGGGATTAAATTATGGGGAATCAAATACAAAATGGGAAATGACACGGTTACTTTTTGCTGATGATACTGTGCTTATGGGAGATTCTAAAGAAAAATTGCAAAGGTTAGTGGATGAGTTTGGGAGTGTGTGTAAAGGTAGAAAGTTGAAAGTGAACATAGAAAAGAGTAAGGTGATGAGGGTATCAAATGATTTAGATAAAGAAAAATTGGGGAGGAGTAGTATGGAAGAAGTGAATGTTTTCAGATACTTGGGAGTTGAAGTGTCGGTGGATGGATTTATGAAGGATGAGGTTAATCATAGAATTGATGAGGGAAAAAAGGTGAGTGGTGCGTTGAGGTGTATGTGGAGTCAAAAAACGTTATCTATGGAAGCAAAGAAGGGAATGTATGAAAGTATAGTAGTACCAACATTCTTATATGGGTGTGAAGCTTGGGTTGTGGAGGCGGTTGGAGGCAGTGGAGATGTCCTGTCTAAGGGCAATGTGTGGTGTAAATATTATGCAGAAAATTAGGAGTGTGGAAATTAGGAGGTGTGGAGTTAATAAAAGTATTAGTCAAAGGGCTGAAGAGGGGTTGTTGAGTTGGTTTGGTCATTTAGAGAGAATGGATCAAAGTAGAATGACATGGAGAGCATTTAAATCTGTAGGAGAAGGAAGGCAGGGTAGGGGTCGTCCTCGAAAAGGTTGGAAGGGAGGTTTTGTGGGCGAGGGGCTTGGACTTCCAGCAGGCGTGCATGAGCGTGTTCGATAGGAGTGAATGGAGATGAATGGTATTTGGGACCTGACGATCTGTTGGAGTGTGAGCAGGGTAATATTTAGTGAAGGGATTCAGGGAAACCGGTTATTTTTATATAGCCGGACTCGAGTCCTGGAAATGGGAAGTACAATGCCTGCACTCTAAAGGAGGGGTTTCACGATATTAGCAGTTTGGAGGGATATGTTGTGTATCTTTATACGTATATGCTTCTAAACTGTTGTGTTCTGAGCACCTCTGCAAAAACAGTGATTATGTGTGAGTGAGGTGAAAGTGTTGAATGATGAAAGTATTTTCTTTTTTGGGTCACCCTGCCTCAGTGGGAGATGGCCGACTTGTTAAAAAAAAAAAATGTAAAAGAAGAAAATTAAAAGTGAATACAGGAAAGAGTAAGGTTATGAGGATAACAAAAAGATTAGTTGATGAAAGATTGGAGGGAGAGAGTATGGAGGAGGTGAATGTATTCAGATATTTGGGAGTGGACGTGTCAGGTCAGCGGATGGATCTATGAAAGATGAGGTGAATCATAGAATTGATGAGGGGAAAAGGGTGAGCGGTGCACTTAGGAGTCTGTGGAGACAAAGAGGGGAATGTATGAGAGTATAGTTTTACCAACGCTCTTATATGGGTGATGAATGTTGCAGCGAGAAGGCTGGAGGCAGTGGAGATGTCATGTCTGAGGGCAATGTGTGGTGTGAATATAATGCAGAGAATTTGTAGTTTGGAAGTTAGGAGGAGGTGCGGGATTACCAAAACTGTTGTCCAGAGGGCTGAGGAAGGGTTGTTCGGACATGTAGAGAGAATGGAGCGAAACATGATTTCAAGAGTGTATCAGTCTGTACCGGAAGGAAGGCGGGATAGGGGTCGGCCTAGGAAAGGTTGGAGGGAGGGGGTAAAGGAGGTTTTATGTGCGAGGGGCTTGGACTTCCAGCGGGCATGCGTGAGCGTGTTTGATAGGAGTGAATGGAGACAAATGGTTTTTAATACTTGACGTGCTGTTGGAGTGTGAGCAAAGTAACATTTATGAAGGGATTCAGGGAAACTGGCAGGCCGGACTTGAGTCCTGGAGATGGGAAGTACAGTGCCTGCACTCTGAAGGAGGGGTGCTAATGTTGCAGTTTAAAAAACCCTTCTGGCAAGACAGTGATGGAGTGAATGATGGTGAAAGTTTTTCTTTTTTCGGGCCACCCTACCTTGGTGGGAATCGGCCAGTGTGTTCATAAAATAAGTGTGGGTGGGGTGGGCTGACCTGGCTGGCTACCATACCTCCCAAACCTGACTTCCTACAAATTAAACTCGCCTCTCACCCTACATTTAGACTACAAATATTTTAAGGAAAGTAATGGGTGTACTGTGTGTGTATTTTACTTTTTATTGTTTTTAATGCCTAGTTGTATTACTAACGTAATATATGTTACTGTAAACTTGTTATCTGGCATTTATAATGGAGAAAATGGCGTTCTGCTTTCCGGCAGTAGCCTGGAACCTAACCTGCCGTATAAGTGGGGCCCTACTGTATTATGTTCAAGGGAAAGCTACCTTCCTCTTCCTTGGATCAAACCTGATTACCTCTTATTCCTCAGGTGCTTTATGACTCATATGGGTTAAGCACTTCCCCATTAATATATAAACTCTGTAATAGCATTTCACAAGCAATGAAGACTAAATCCAGAGGTAAGGGGTTGGAGTGTATTATGAGAAACCTTTCATGTTGGTTTGGATATATGAAGTAGAAAAACGGATGACAGGATCAAGGAAAATTAACAAATAATACAGAGGGTTGGAAGAACTTGCAGGAATGTACACTGAAAACCATCATTCTGGACCATTATAGTGCAAGGTTTAAACAGGATCCCAGGAGGCTTTTCTGTCATGGCCTCCCACTCAAGTGGGTAACAAGAAGCTGGATATATACAGAACAAATTAAACCATGTTTCATTTGTTCTGTATATATCCAAATGAAACCATGTTTCATTTCTGTATATTTTTTTTTTAACACATCGGCCGATTCCCACGAAGGCAGGGTGGCCCAAAAAAGAAAAACTTTCATCATTCAATTCATCACTGTCTTGCCAGAGGGGTGCTTTACACTACAGTTTATAAAACTGCAACATTAACACCCCAATGAAACCATGTTTCATTTGTTTTTATTTTCTCACACAGATAAGAAAATATCAACATAAGACTTCGGCTCTACAATAATGGCAAAGTATACTTTTTTTTTTTTAATTGAATAGGTTAAGATATACTACTTGTAAATATGATTCATAGGCTGACAACTATAATAAACTATCAATGAGGACCTGAAAAGCAAACCAGTCTCACCCGATATGTCTTGCAGATGTACTCTCGCTTCACTCTCTCCAAAACAGGGATAATATAATCTGTAGGATTTTTAAGGTACTCTGTTCTAACAGCTCCTTTCAAGACCATGTCTGTAGCAGTCTCGTGCGAAGGTGGCACAATTCCAGGACAATCTATGAGGTATATTTTCCTCATCAGGGTAACATACTGCCACACTTTGGTCTCACCAGCAAGTGGAGCTACATTACAAACCTACAAGGATAAATACATTGTGTTTAGAAAATGAAGTTTATATTACTTATGGTACTCTAATAACTAAAATAACATTACTATTATTCAAGTCTAAGAATATTACAAATGGATTATTATTAAAGAAAGTGCTAAATCCCAAAGGATCATAACATGCTATTAAAAAATTAGAAAGGTAAAATGAAAAATAAATTTATTCTATTAAAGTTTTGTACCTCAAATCTATTTCTACAAGTTTATAATGGAAAAATTGATGGCGTATTATTAAATATTTAAATATTTACTTTGTTAAATGTGTGATGTTAGGAGAGAGGAAACTCTTAGTTAAGGCACAGAAAATAAAACTCGCCAAAAGGAATTTTATAATTTTTCCTCGTCAGTAATTTTTGTTCAAAGTACAACATTCAATCACTATCTTGCCAGAAGTATGCTGACATCACAATTCAGATTACCCTCTGGCAGTAATATCTCCACCCCTTCAGAGGGCAGGTACTGTACTTCCCACCTCCAGAACTCAAGTTGGGCTAATTGGTTTCTCTGAATGCCTTCATGACAATTACCTTGCTTACACTCCAACAGCATGTCCATTAAACACCATCTGTCTCCATTGATCACCCTCTCAAAAACAGCTTCTTCTTTCTTTCAACGCACCAGCCGTATCCCACCGAGGCGGGGTGGCCCAAAAGGAAAAACAAAAGTTTCTCCTTTTAAATTTAGTAACATATACAGGAGAAGGGGTTACTAGCCCCTTGCTCCCGGCATTTTAGTCGCCTCTTACGACACGCATGGCTTACAGATGAATTCTTTTCCACTTCCCCATGGAGATAAGAAGAAATAAACAAGAACTAGTAAGAAAATAGAAGAAAACCCAGAGGGGTTTGTATATATATGCTTGTACATGTATGTGTAGTGTGACCTAAGTGTAAGTAGAAGTAGCAAGACGTACCTGAAATCTTGCATGTTTATGAGACAGAAAAAAGGACACCAGGAATCCTACCATCATGTAAAACAATTACAGGCTTTCGTTTTACACTCACTTGGCAGGACGGTAGTACCTCCCTGGGTGGTTGCTGCCTACCAACCTACTACCTAGGAAACAAGCTTCTTATTCTCAGATAAATTTACTGATAGACTCTCTCTTTGAATCTCCTTTTGCATTCCTTCACCGTTCTTCTAACCTCTTGATTTGATTTGAATGATTCATCAGGAACTGCATCCTGACATGGGTCTTAATCCTGAGATGACCCATCTGAGGATCTCAAAGATGTTGATATAATTCTGATGTTCTGTTGCTGGGACCAGGGGTCTTGCTGTAGTCCCTGTGCATTCTACAGCAAAATATTTTATGTTGAACAATGGGCCAAGGCCATCAAACCCCCATCAATGTCTCTGGGCCCTGTGTTGGGGAGTCAGGTAAATTTGCCAATAAACGTATGGATTCTGTTTTGTCCAACATACATATTTTAATAAAGGTCTTCACCAAGAATGTATCACTAGTGTTAAAGATGCAATAATAATACTAATTGCTCTGGGGTGCTTTAAATGTTGCAGATTATGTTATAGACATTTTTTTGAAATTACACTACCACCAGACAAACTGTGCAGAGGCAGATTAGCCATGGGGGCATTTGGGTAATGCCTGGTGGGCTGCTGAAAAAAAAAAAAAACTGAAGTCACCGCTGCTGCACAAAGATTGAAATGAAAATGGAGCACGCCTTAGCTGAGCAGTGAAAACACACCTCTGACCCTCAGCAGTTAATGAGCCGACCTGATAAGTGACATGTCCAGACTGGTTTTAAGACCCAGTCTGCTTCTGAAACTATAGTATAGTATTACTAGGGCATAACTACAGAAAAACATTCCTTTCTTATGCCTTTACCTATAAATAATGCCACTTGCTCTAAAATGTGGGCACTACATGAGAATGAGAGTGTTGCTGTTATGTATTCTACTGCACCAATGTGAAGACAACTTGTACACAATGTAAGGTGTTTATTTTTTTTTTTAACATGCTGGTCGTCTCCTACCAAAGCAGGGTAACCCAAAAAAGAAACACTTTCACCATCATTCACATATAATTACTGTTTTTGCAGAGGTGCCCAGATTTGATGTCACTCTAAACAGCCAATATCCCAAACCCCTCTAAGTGAGGCACTGTACTTCCCACCTCCAGGACTAGTCCAGCTAAACGGTTTCCCTGAATTCCTTCACAAAATATCACCTGCTCACACTCCAACAGCTCGTCTGGTCCCAAAAACCATTCATCTTCATTCATGCCCAACACACTCACACATGCCTGATGCATGTCCAGGCCCCTTGCACACAAAACCTCTTTTACCCCCTCCCTCCATCCTTCCTAGGATGACCCCTACCCCTCCTCCCCTCTGCTACAGATTTATACACCCTCCAAGTCATTCTATTTTGCTCCACCCTCTCTAAATGATCAAACCACCTCAATAAGCCCTCTTCAGCCCTCTGAATAATACTTTTTGTAACTCCACAACTCCTCCTAATTTCCACACTACAAATTCTGCATAATATTTACATCACACATTGCCCTTAGACACGACATCTCCACTGCCTCCAGCCTCCTCCTCGCTGCAGCATTCACAACCCATGCTTCACACCCATATAAGAGTACCACTATACTCTCGTACATTCCCTTGTTTTGTCTCCACAGACACCTCGATGCACCACTCACTTTTTTTTCCTCCATCAATTCTATGGCTAACTTCATCCTTCATAAACCCATCAGCTGACAAATTTACTCCCAAATATCTAAACACATTCACTTCTTTTATACTCCCTCCCTCCAATGCGATATTCAATTTTTCTTTATCTAACTCATTTGATACCTTCATTGCCTTACTCTTATGTATGTTCACTTTCAACTTTCTACCTTCACACCCTCTCAAACTCATCCACTAACCTTTGCAACTTCTCTCTAGAATCTCTGAAAAGCACAGTATCATCAGCAAAAAGTAACTGTGACAACTTCCATTTTGTTTTTGATTTCCCATAATTTAATCCCACCCCTCTCCCCAACACCCTAGCATTCACTTCTTTTACAACTCCAGCTATAGTTATGTTAAACCACCATGGTGATATTACACATCCCTGTCTAAAATCTACATTTACTGGGAAGTAGTCTCCCTCTCTCCTACACACCCTAACCTGAGCCTCACTAGCCTCATAAAAACTCTTTACAGCATTCAGTAACTTACTAACTGTTCCATACATTTGCAACATTTGCCACATTGCTCCCTTATCTACCCTATATGTCTAAATCCATAAATGCAAATATCATACCCTTTAACCCTTAAACTGTCCAAGCAGATCTACGTTCACATGCGTAGTGCTCCAAAAGTAGATCTATGTTTTTTTTTACATATTTTCAAAAAAAAAAAAAAAAAAAAACGTAGATCAAAGTTTTTTTTACACTTTTTCAAATGTAAAAAAAGAAAAAAAGATTTGCTTTTTTACATACTTTCAAATGTTGAAAAAACGTAGATCTACGTTTGGACACTAAGGGTATAAAAAAAAAAAGCCCCAATACCTGGTATAATTATATATCCCATGCATGACCTGACACTGTGGCCACAGTAGAAGGTAGGAACACTAGCTATAAAATATGGTTTCTGAAGCATCAAAACAGCAGTGAAAAAAAAAAAAAGAGGGAAACATTATGGAAAAAAAGACAATAGTTATTGCCATAAAAATGTTATAGCATTAGCATTAAATTCAAATATTTTGGCAAAATAAAATACAACTTGCCTTTTTAGATCTCAGTGTATTGATTATAGAGCTCTTGCCAACATTGGGAAAGCCAATGAGGCCAACACTAATTTGCTTCTTGTCCTTGTGTAATTTCCCAAACTGGCGCAGAAGGGTGATCAAGGCACCTTTACCATATGGATTTGTGATGGAGGATTGGAAAGCAAGGCTAGGATATTCAGCACTTAAAATGGCCACCCACTTTTGTGTGACCCACACAGGCACTAAATCAACCTGAAAAATAAAGAAACTGCATTAATCATTGGAAAATTGACGAGGAAAATATATATATTTTTAACACCAGCCATCTCCCACCTAGGTAGAGAAACGTGACAAAGAAAACACTTTGACTCTTACTCCTTCATTCACTGTCTTGCCAGAACACTGATACTATAGCTCAGGTACCACCTCTACACTCCAATATCCTCAACCCCCTCCTTCAGAGTGCAGGCACTACTTCCCACCTTCAGGACTCAAATCCAGCTAACCAGTTTCCCTGAATCCCTTCATGTTACCTTGCTCACATTCCAACAGCACGTCAAGTCATGAGTATCACTTGTCTCCACTGACTACTATCTCGCATGCCTGTTAGATGTCAAGCACACCCACATATGTAACCCCTCTCTCCAACGTTTCCTAGGATGACCCCCCTACCCCACCTTCCCTCCCAATCATCCTATTTTGCTTCATCCTCTCTAAATATCCAAACCACCTTAACAACTGCTCCTCAGTCCCCTGGATAATACTTTTAGTAGCCCTGCACATTTTTCTAATCTGCAAACTATAAATTCTCTGCATAATGTACACACCACACATTGCCCTCAAGCATGACATCTCCACTTCCTTTAGTCTCCTCGCAGACTCCTATTCACTATTAATGTTAAGAAGTGAGTGGGTCACCATTAACCCTTTGACTGTTTTCGACGTATAAATACGTCTTACGAGCCAATGTTTCTGACGTATATATACTCAATAATTCTAGCGGCTTCAAATCAAGTGGGAGAAAGCTGGTAGGCCCACATGTGAGAGAATGGGTCTGTGTGGTCAGTGTGCACCACATAAAAAAAATCCTGCAGCACACATTGCGTAATGAGAAAAAAAAAACTGATCGTTTTTTTGGAATAAAACGCCGACTTTGAGGTGTATTTTCGTATAGTATTTATCGTTGTATTCGCGTTTTCATGGTCTTAGGTGATAAAATGGAAAACATATTACAGAAATAGAGATGATTTTCATTACTTTGACAATGAAAACTACCTTGAAACTGAGCTCAAAGTAGCGGAAATGTTCGATTTTTACCAATGTTCAGGAGTAAATAAATCACACCACACGTCCAATACACGTCAACTGGGGAGTCTAATATTCTTTCACTAGTGCACTGATATTATTTATACCATTTTTACAATAATGCAGTAGTCTGCATAACAGTAAATTTTTTTTTTTTGTATGAATAAAAAATCAAAATAGAAAGCAATAATAATATAAGAGGGGCCTAGAGATGTTACTAATGAACAGAGCATATGTTATTTTAGTGCCACGAATGTCTACCTTGTTTATTCTGGACCCTATTTTGAAATTGGCATATTTTTTAGTTTGTGTGAAATTGGCCAAATTGCCAATTTCTGACCACCATATTGGGTAGTCCAAATTAGTAAATGGGAGGTTTCTTGTACTCAGCTGATAGATAAAATGGAGTTCTAAAGAAATAGCTATGAGTTTGGTCAACTGGAACAATGGAATTGGCTGAAAATAGGGCCCAAAGTCGGCGAAATCGCCGATATGCATATGTCGCCGAGACTGCTAACTTCGCGGGAGCATAGTTCCACGAGTTTTCGACCAAATTTCGAACTTTTGGTGTCATTACCATCGGGAAAAGATTCTCTATCATTTCATAAGAAAAAATAATTTTTTTTTTTTTCAAAAATTGAGCGACATAGAATGACAGTTTCAGAGAGGGGCCTGAAACAGTCAAAGGGTTAATACCAAAGGGTAAGTTATTATGAATATCAAGGGATATCATTGTTAACATTAAGAGTGTAAGTCACTGTAAATGTTGTTTCCTTCCTCTCAGGCATTCTCTGATCCATTGCAGCCTTTTTCCTGTTATTCCTGCTTGCTCCTCTTGCTTTTGCACTTATCCCTTACGTGGAACTGTATCAAAAGTCTTCTTACAGTCCAAGAAAATGCAGTCTGCCTTAATTTTAGGGGTTAAGTCACTATTAATATCAAGGGGTGTCACTTCAATTAAGATGGCATCCCACTTTCAGGATAGATACAGGAAAAATAGTAAAAGTATTAAATAAATACAGTATAGCCCTTGTGGCTTAGCGCTTCTTTTTGATTATAATAATAATAATTAAATAAATACAAACCTTGTTCAAGACAAAGACAAGATGTTTGTGAGGCTTCTCAGTACGCATAAACTTCTCTATTATCTTGGATCTGGTTCCCAATGGGTCTCGAGCATCAAGCACTTGAATCACTACATCTGATGAATCGATCACCTTATAGAGTTCATTCCAAATACGCTTGCTTTGTCCAGCCTGCAAATCAAGATAAAGCATTAATAAATACATTCACTCAAATTTCTGTCCCATAGGCAAGCATAAATATCTGAAATATGTTGTATTAAACCACAGTTCAAGTTTAGCTACATGAAATTCATAAATTTGTATAAAGAACAAAAAGTCACAATACCGTGACTGGAACAATACACAAATAACTCACACATAGGAGAGAGGAACTTTTGGCAATGTTTAGGTTCAACTTGGACCATTAACAAGTCACAGACTAACACATGAAACATCATAAGTTTCTTTCTCCCATGTGCGGGTTATTTGTGCATAAATGTGTACAGTGGACCCTCAGTTAACGACATTAATCCTTTCCAGAAAGCTTGTCTTTAACCGATTCTGTCGTTATCAGAATTAATTTTCCCCATAAGAAATAATGGAAATCCAATTAATCCGTTCCAGACACCCAAAAGTATTAAATAATTTTTTACATAAAATATACATTTCCCTACACAGAAAACAATGAGACATACAGAATAAATACATTAATAATTAATAAAATGATACTTACCTTTATTGAAGATGTATTTGATGAGTGATGAGATGGGAGGAGGGCAGAAGATGGAGGAGTTTACAATTGTTTGGAAGGGGAATCCCCTTCCATAAGGACTTTAGGTACCAAGTCCTTTTCAGGGGTTACCTCCCTTCTTTGTTTTTTAATGACACTAGGACCAGCTTGAGAGTCACTGGACTCCTGTCGCACCAAAAATCTGTCCAGAGAGCTCTGTTTCTGGCGCGTCTTTAAGATTTCCTAAAAAATGGTAAACATTGTCATTGTAGAAATTTTCGATGGCCTGCCCAAAAGGTGATTTCATCCATAAAGGTTTGCACTTCAGTCCACTTTGCACAAATGTCCTTAATCTTTGAAGAAGGCAACTTTCTCCATCTCTCTTCCCCTTCCTCTGAAGGAAATTCCTGAGCTGTGGTCTGTTGCTGTTGCACCTCAAGCTCTTGCAGCTCTGTAGTGGTTAGCTCTTCATCCATCCTCCATCAACTCTTCCACATCCTCGCCACTAACCTCATGGACTTCCCCAGTGCCACAATAAGAACATAAGAAAGGAGGAACACTGCAGCAGGCCTGTTGGCCCATACTAAGCAGGTCCTTCACAGATCCATCCCACTAATAGAATATTTGCCCTCATAAGAACATAAGATCATAAGAAATAAGGAACACTGCAACAGGTCTACTGGTCTATGCGAGGCAGCTTCAACTCCCCACGGCTTAAGCCAATGCCGACCTAGTGAGTCAGACACGTCCTTGAGGGATTACACTGTTTTCCGACCTATAGTCATCAAATCCATTAAAACCCACCACACCCCCTGAAACCATAAGAACATAAAAGAAGAACACCGCAGCAGGCCCATTGACCCATGCAAAAACAGGCCTGTCCCCCCCCAGATTAGCCCCAAAGACCCACCCTTTTCAGGTCATCCACTAAGAAGAGACGGCAAAAGAAGTAGTCGTCCAACTCTCACCCACCACACCACTCTAACCTATTTTTTAAAATACCAACATTTTAGCCCAATAAACTGTACTCGGAGTTTGTTCCCCTCATTTCCCCAACTATATTACCCAAACCAGTGCTTTTATATCACTTCTTGAATCTAACTTTTCCCAAATTGAAACCACTGCTGCGAGTCCGTCTTGCTGGGGAAATTTCAGCACAAATATTTTTCATCCCCCTTTTTTTATTCCCGTTTCCATTTTTTACACCTCGATCATATCCCCTAAATCTGCGCACTTGGAGAGAGTGCCCCGATTCAGGGCCCTCGGTCTATCCTCATAGGGAAAATTTCTGATAATGGGTCATTATTGGTCAATCCTCCTCTTTATGTTTCCAGAGCATTTATATCCATTCTGTAATATGTTTACCAAAATAGCAGCAAGTCTAAATTTAGCCTACCAAGGATATATAGAGTTGAAGAACAACCTGAGGACTTTAATTTAACTTCTAATTGAACCCAAAAATTTTGTCAGCTTTATTGCGAACATAATGCACCCCTCGGTTACCCCAAACCTTCAAAAATCCCTCTCTTGTACACATTGTGGCCACAATTTTCTCCAAGAAATTTCAAAGCCCTAAAGTCCCCCCTCCCAACCCTTTACCTAAAAGGGTTTATGCAACTGGGGATACTGAAATGACTTCCAGAATCTCTTGGGGTAATTTCATGTCTGAGGTCATTCCAAGATTTTTGAAACACTCTTTGGTGTACTTTTTTAAAATTTTTGAAATGACCTGCGGGTCCATGGCGGGAGGAGAGGTGTTGGGGGGCAAAAAATTTCACTTTGATAAAAAATAAACTTCCCCCAATTCGCTTTCCCAAGTCGGGAGTATGAGCAGGAGATTGTCCATTACGGACATTTAGTGGAAATTTAATTTCCGGGAGGTATTTTTTCACACTGGGCCAAACCTTACAGAACCAATAAAGGGAAAAAGTCCCTGTGCCCATGCCGTACTGTTTGCTCCTTTCACACACTTTTTTGTTTGACAACACTGTTTTCTTGAACACTCGGGGAGTTTCAGAGTGATCATGAGAAAAGGTTTCATCTGAAATCCCACTGCTTTACTACAAAGATGAGGTTAGCCGTCTTTCAAGGCTTTTTCTGGGGTGCCTTTCCTTTGAGTAATGTAGGCCTGTTTGGCATTTTTTTCCAAAAAACGGGCCTTTTTTCGCACATAGAACATAGAACAAAGGAACACTGCGAAGGCCTACGGCCCAGCAGGCGACCAAGTCCCTACCCTTAACCAATCACCCAACCTAGTCGGGTCGGGTCACATTGATTAAGGGGGAACCGGCAACCGACGGGTGCTCAAGCTTCGGTCCAACTCAACCCCCCCAAATCCACTCATGTATTTATCCAACCTTTTTTAAAGCTACACAACGTTCTGGCCTCATAACTGTACTGGGGGTTTTTTTCCCACTCATCCACAACTCTTTTTCCAAACCATATTTTCTATACCCTTTCCTAATCTAAATTTTTTTCCAACAAAAAACCATTGGCGATCCGTCTAGGCTAGATATTTTTTCAACACATATACACCCCCTTTATTTTTCCCTGTTTTCCATTTATACACCCAATCAAAACCCCCCAATTTACGTCTTTCTAGAGATGCAGATTGGGCCCTTTCTATCCTCATAGGGAAGGTTTCTGATACAGGGGATCAATTTGTCACCTCCTTTGTACTTTTTTCCAAGTTTTTTATCCTTTCTGTAATACGGGCCCAAAACTGTGCAGTAACTAAATGAGGCCTAACCAAGGGTATAGAGTGAAGAAAAAACCGGGGACTCCTATTTTTATCTTCTTGATAAAACCAAGGTTCTATTAGCTTTTTTGCGAACATTATCATGTTGTTTTGGGTTTTTCAGATTAGAACCAAAAAAACCCTAAATTTTTCCAACCCGAAATTTAAAGATCACATTATTTATTTAATGGGGTGGTTTTTGTCCTGTCCAACTTTGAACTTTGCTTTGTCTTATAAACGTCTGCCACTTCCGACCCGCATCGTCATTCAAATCTTCCTGGAGTGCTCAATGCCCTGTAAAAATAAAAATTTCAAAGGCCTTTTTGTGTCTCGGCAAACTTGCGTGTCCCCTTTTTATGCCCTCATCTTTTCGTTTTTGTAATTGTGAACAGGGGGGGCCCAACCGACCCTGTGGAAACCGCTCGTGACGTTTCCCCCACTTATTTCCCCCCAATTTATGAAAAAACTCTCTTCCATCTGTCAACCATGCTCATCCGGGAAAAAATTTTCTCCCCTATTCCAGGGGCCTTTTAATTTTCCTCAATAGTCTTGATGTGGGACCCTGCAAAAGCTTACTGAAGTCCATATACACAATATATTTTATTCCCATGATCTCCCAAAATACCTTATAAAAAAAATTAATAAATTGAAAAGGCAGGAACCCCTTTTTTAAAAACCCATGCTGAGATTCTTGATTAATTTTGCTTTTCAAGGGGGTACAACTGCCTGGGCAATTTTTGATTCCATAAATTTTCCCACTAGGGAGGTTAGGTTTATTGGTCTATATTCAAGCTTTTAAATTTAAATTTTAATTTTAAACACTTGCGGGGTTTTAATTGTTCAGCCTTATGTCCCCCTTACCCCTTTGAGGGTCGAGGGGCCCCTCTCCAAACTGTTTCACTCAAAAATTTTTCAAAAAAAAAAAAAAAAAAAAAAAAAAAAAAAAAATCCACAAAAGATGGGGTTTTTTTCCTTCATAAACACCAAAAAGATAAAATTTGTTGGAACACTTAGGGAATTATGGTTTCGTGAAGTTGTGGCTCGAAGATATTACCATCGGAAATTTACCCACTTTGAGCCCTATTTTGGGCCAAATTTTAATGTTCAGTTTCTAAAATCATAGCATTTCCTCAGAACTCCCTTTTTTCTATCGAGTGATCAAAACTGCCCATTTACGATTTTAATACCCCAAAAAGTGGTCAGAAATTGGCAATTTGGGGTTTCACACAAACTTTAAAAAATGCCCAAATTTTAAAATAGTGTCAGAAAAAACAAGACAGACATTCCGGGGACAAAATAACATTTTATTGTTCATTTTACATTTAGGCCCCCCTTTTTATTACTTTTGCTTTCATTTTGGTTTTTATTCTCACAAAATAGGGTTTTTGTTACTATATACTGATCTTGTAAAAATGGGATAAATATGTCAACCACTTGTGAAAAAATTCAACTCACCAGATGATGGTATGGAGTATGACTATTTATTTACTCTTGAACATTGGCAAAAATCATTATTTTCTCACTTTGAGCTCTTTCAAGACTTGTCAAAAGTGAAACAACAAAATTCTCTATTTTGTAATTATCTTCGATTCTTTAAAGGGACCAAGGAAAAAAAGAATCAGCCCTAAATACCCTATGAAAAAGCACTAGAAAAGTCGCTGTTTTTTTAAACCCCAAAAAAATGGCAAATTTTTTTTTTTCATTAGCACTGTATTCTTCAGGTTT